CGTGGCGGATCTGACTGACGCTGCGCTTGCGGCAGATCTCCGGCGAGGCACCAAAATAGAGCCCGAAATGTTGTTGTTTTAAATATTGAGCTTTATTTACTGGAGGTGTTTGTGAAATGGCTAAATTAGCCTGCTGGTGGGATTGATTGATTTCAAGCTGAGGTCAGACTTCCATTAGCACATGCTCTAACGGAAGCTTACTATGTCTACAACCAAGTCTTTCATGTCCTTCAATTCTTTCTTACTGTCAAGGAAAGCAATAAAAATTATTGTGAGAAAAAGTTCGCTCACAGAGGCAGATGACAACTCTTTTCCAACAGGTTTTACTTTTACATTAATGCAACAAGTACCTGAAAATATCCAGAGTATGAAAAGATGAAGAGCTTTAAAGACAGGAGATGAGAGTAGAACTGTCTCTATACCTTTTCAATATTATTTGGATCTTGCCATGAGCTGCTCCTTTGGATTCAAAACAGTGTATCCTATACTGTCTCTTTTTTAATGAGCCATAAAGCAGCTCTTTGCATCCTTGAAGCCAGAAACCTCCAATACGGGCTGCTTTTCACCTATGGGAGTATTATTTGATAAAAGACATCAGCCCCCCAGTGTCATTTTCAAAGGCGAGGAGAGGAGCTTATGTTATTGGCCAATACAGGTCTCAGCTGTGTAAAAGCCACTCCACGCCCTCTCTCCTCACTCCCTACGACTTACGCCGTTGGGAGAAGCTGAGTTAGGGAGGGGAGGGGCTACTTACACTGGGCTGCGCCACTCACCAAAAACCAAATTGTGCTTGGGAACGCCTTGTCGGCATGGCGTAAATCATTTTCAAAAATAGAGCCCAATGTCAAAGGACTGTTGACTCATTCAGTGCCAGGTTGATTTATGCAATTTTCACCCAGTGCCACCACTGACCGCAATAGAAATTTTTGTATCTTTCAGAACCCACAGAATATCTTGTGCTTGGAATTAAAGGGATATTCCAGTGAAAAATTAAGTTAGGGTCAAACACACCGTTATACCGAATTAGACACAACCTAGAGAGATGAATGTTGCCGACTGCTTGCTTCTCTAGTTATCCCAACTTTAGTAACGAACCAACAATAGCAATACACATAATCATAAATGTTCCTTCTTTAGCTGCGTCACCCCACTGCAGTCGGTGATGGACTTGTCAGAGCTCTCTCTTTGAACAAGTGGCTGCAGTAAGACAGTGGGTTAGTTGTGTTTAGTCTCTTTGCTAATAGTGATGGGCACGGCAGTTCTTTTAGATGTACTGAATCACTAGAATGATTCGTTCACTGAATCATTCAGCGCTTGGTGGGAGGAGCCTGCGACTGATACACAGCTACATGGTTCAGGGTTCAGTTCAATTCATAGCTTCTGGGACCAGGAGGCAAGCGTGTTTGGCTGTGTTGCTTTGGCAAACAGGCTTGTAAAAATGAATTTGTTTATAAGTCATGATTTCTTAAGTGTACTATCCTATTGTGTGCTATTAATCTTGTCTGCTCATTAAATTGGGCTCAGTGAGTGTTTCATTCACCGAATGTTTAGAAGAATTCACACTGAACATGCACCGTTCCCTCGCAAACCACTGCAATGATAGGATGCTGTGCAGTAGGATGCACTACTCTCAACATGCTGTGTCCTATTGTATGCAAGTTGTTGTGGTGGCAATTCAGCAGTAAAAAAAATAAAAAGTTATTTTTGTCCGTCAAAAATTATTCCAGAAGGTGTAGATCAATGCGTGATTCAGGCGTTGGTGCATGCCATCCCTTGTTCACTGGCTGCTTGCCTGGCAATGCTGTGTGCTATAGCAGCTGCGCTGCTGACAGCTCAACCGAAGTGAGAAACGAACGAATGACTTAAGGAAGTGATTCAGCTCAGTACGTTCACTTAAAAGATTTAGTTCTTTTGAACGAATCATTCGCAAACGACAGAATACTCTTTTGCTAAAGAAATTAGGCAAAGCTAAAAGATATTTGGTGGCTAGTACTATGGCTGGGACCCTATTTGCACTGTTGATAAGGTTAGGTGCTGTTCTGAGCATTTTTTGTGGCTACAGAGTTGCTTTTTGGTTGAGGTTTGCGCATGGATCCATAGACCACTGTGTATTGCAATCTTGAGTTTGTTTTTAAAGTTGGTATAACTAGGGAAGCAAACAGTCAGCAACATTTATCTCTCGAGGGGGTGTCTAACTCAGTATTGTGTGTTTGACCCTAGCTTAATTTTACGCCCAAATATCCCTGTAAGTGCCACATCTCAAAAGAAAGGGGTGATTCTCTTATTTTACTTGAAAAAAAAAAAGTTATACTCTAACCTCTCTTTAGTTGTTGCCTGCTCAATGCAGCATGGTCATATCATCTTTGCCGATCTAGAAAAAGATACCTGGGAAAAACACATTTTTACAAAGGAGAGACTTCAAGCAGAACCCTGATTGTCTATTTCATTTCACTTCAAACTGCTTTACTGGTGGCATCAAGGTCCCCCCTCCTTGGACACCACTCCTCATCCCTCTTGAGATCCGATTGTGATAGGTCACTTTGTGATGGCTGGGAGTCATATTGGCTCTGGAGAACCTGGCGTAAACCACACGGACTGCTCGCGTCCTCCTTGCTGAAAGATTGTCAAAGATTGAGCATTGAAACACATAAGAGAAGCGCTACATAAGTGGAAGACATATACTGTTCCACCATTTACATCATGTGTTTGAACGTGTTTCTAAATGGAAAGGAAATACTTGTGCAAGGTGTGAACGATCTGCCTGACTGCATTTCACAGTGTCTCATGTCATATAAGTCCAATCTGTACCAGCTGGCATCTTTACTGACGTGACAGTTCAGGTCAGGTCAGACCTCAGTATGTGCAGCCAGAGCGAATTAAAAATACAGATATAATTGCATAGGGGCAGACTGGAAGGGTTTGTTCTCTGGATAATTAATCCAGATAATGACCACATTTTAATAGCAGGTGTAAACAAGGTCTAATAGCATCTGATGTCACATTACATTAGGGATGTGTGGCCCAGCATGATAAACACTGCTTTATGAATTTTTGCTTTTGAGATTTATAGTACTTGTTACATTTCTCAAATTAGGTTATCTCCAGGTGGGATGGTGGTTGTAGTAGAAACTTTAAATTTGGAGTGGTTGAACCCCAGGCAATATTAGACAACCTGGACTTTAATTTCTGTAACGTGTAAGGCACACAGGTTTAAAACCAAAGGGAGAGAGACATATTTCTAAAAGAGGGCAAATATTTTATTGAGGAAAATAAACCATTTCTAATAATGATTGACATTGCCATAAAGACGATTAAAAAAAAAACATGTTGTAAAAACAACATCTAATTTAGTAAAACAGTGTATTATTCTCACAATTGACAAAAAGTCCTCATCACTTTGAAAGTTCAGGGACCCAAAAGATAAATGCTTCTAGAACTAAACCTAACTTTAATAAATTAAACTGGTCTGAGGCCACTTGTGAGAGGTATATCCCACTCATAACAATGTAGGTGAGTAGACTTTATGTGGCTGTTTTCCTGTACTCAAGACATGCCTAGTGTCAGCGTTGTACTTTAACAAGCTAAAGTGAACACATTCATTGAACTTATAATTTATAGAACAGCAAACTAAACAGCTGAATTTGCAACTCATGAATAGGAACATAAAAACAGCTCACTCCTTATATTCTGAGGGTGTAGGATAGTTAGTTGGTAAAATTTTTTTTTTTTTTTATGTACAGAATAGATAATGTTTGTTTCTGTTTTCCTTTTTCTGAAATTTGAAAAATTCACAAAAAACACAAGAAGAAAAGGAACTGAAAAATCATTGAGGACAAAATCAAAGGGAGCAACTGGGGAGAAAGGCATACACACAGAGACATCGACATATTAAACAATGAACCAAGCAAGAAACAGAGGAAGACAAGGACTATATATACACAGAGGGAAACGAGCAACGAGAGGCAGGTGAGACACTGAGGCTGTGTCCGAAATGGATCCCTAACCCCTATATGGGCGACTATATGGGTGATAGCGCCATTTCAATGGGTGTCCAAAACCTGAGTAATCAATTCTAATACCCCATATAGGCGCCTCAAAATTTCCTATAAAGCATTGCAAAATGTAGTGACCATCCGATGGTCACTCACCAGTGGTGGGCATCCGGTCATGCATTGCGTCTCCAGCGGCAACGTCACAACGGTAGTGTCCAAAACCTCCAGTGATTTAGCTCACTCCATAGTCATCTAAACAGTGGAACCCCATATGGGGGTTAGGGGTTAGGAGTTGAGTGAATCATTTCGGATGCAGCCTGAGACAAAGGTGCAGACAATTACAGAGGAGGGGAAACTGAGGAAGTCAAGCAAGACTAGAAACACAGAGAATAAACAACTACAAAATAAAACAGGAAACACTGAAAACTAGTATAAAGAATAAAACACTGAGAACATGAAGGAAACAGGGTCAGACACAAACTTGAAAACTCACAAGACAAGACTACAGGGCAACAGGAGCAATAGGGAACAGAGACACTAGGGAAAATAAACTCAAATCACCAAAACCAGGGAACTAACTAAATCAACAGACCATATCATGACACAAACTAGATATCGGACACATGTAATGATTCAGCATTCAGCCAAAATCTAATTTAACTTGTTAAGTTTACCAGGTCCAGAGCAGGTTATGTTTTTAGTTTGTAAGCTAAAAAGTGCTGTCTCAAAATAAGACCTGACTTTGTCTACAGTAAACTGTAGCATAGGGTGCCTAACTGTCCCCCAGGTAGTCTGTCATCCATTGTAGCTAATACAACTTACAACAATCCAACTCATACAACCCAACTTTTAAGGATAACGAAATGACCCATTAAATTTAGAAGATTATCTGTGCCATATAAAAAAAAAAAAAAAAAACAGATCACAGCACCTAATGACTGGATTATGTTTTTAAGCGTGGTCCTCATATCAGTAGCCCATAAAGACCCACACCCATTTCCCCTCATAGGAAAATTATGTGCATTAAAGAACAGACTAAATCGACCATAAATAACACATTTTAAAACTTTTTTTCCATAGACTGTATATAAGATGGACAGAGCCTGCCTCCTCGCTGGGTGAAGCCACTCCGAGAACAGCACCCTCTGATGGTGGGCTGCAGTACAGGTCATAAATCCCGCCTCCGCCAGCAAAGCTTATGGGACTGTGGACAAACTTTAGAAATTTATTACACAGAACATAATTTTTTCTCCCCCCTGGTTGTGATGTTGACATGTAGTTACTGTCAGACTGGTTTGTGCCCAAGTCCTCTTTTTTCTGTACAGCTCCGTTTTTAAAAGTTATTAGGGGGTTCATGTTTTCTATGATTGACACCTGGTACAGCCTATGGGCGTTCAGGGATTCCGAAGCTCTTCCGGGGGAATACGCTGTTTGACCCGAGCGTCATCACAGGGACTCTCGGCGACTGCGCGGCCGAATGCGCACAACGCTACTGCACAGCTCTGGTTTCAAGGAAGCGGAGAAAAACCCGGAATTACCGAGAGCCGTTTGGCTTCAAATCCGTATACAGGCGGAAGGCGGAACCACGGCGTCCATCTTATATACAGTCTATGTTTTTTTCACATTGGGCATTTACCATTTTTTAATTTTTTTTTCATTTAGAAATGAATAAAATAATACATGTTTGTTGTTTAGTAACAAACGTTTGCATTAATCTGTATTTAAACTGAGAAAATATCTTTCCAAACAGTTAAACAACAAATTTGGTCATCTCAAAATTTTTTTTTTTTCATTGAAGAGGAACTGAACAATAAACAACAGATTCACGCAGAAAACCTGCCAAAATATGTACTTAAGTAATGTAAACAGAGAACTGCTGGAAAATAAAACTTCTTTTGCATTATCAGCACCATGTCTCCACAGTTTATTCACTATAAACAGCTTTTTTTTTTTCTTTAGCCCTTTAGGGTGGTGGAGCTGTGTCACTCAAATACCTCAGATACTTTGGTGCTAGATTTCTGGAGCCATGGGCCTCTGACAACTATCCTCAACAAGGACCTTGTACCCATGTTTAACATCACTCAGGTTCCCAAAATATGTTGTGCTTTGTTATTACCCTACATGGACTCTCCTTTAGGTCAATAAGATGCAAGCGGAATGTTTGGAAACGTGGACCACTATATAGGCTAGGCATCCTTACAGTCGCATTTGAGAGTGGTGGTAGCATTGACTTTACAGAGTTTGCAACAACCTTGTTTCTCACATTTCACAGGACAGTGTACAATGTGGTCAGTGAATCATCATCTGAGAATACCAGTATGGACTCTCTTAGGTGGTAATGGTGGTGGAGATGGGCTGTCAAATAATGGGTGCCCCCTTTGTTGAATGCAAGAGAATCAGGCTTGTGGCATCTCTGCGTGGAAGCTTCTTTGTTTCAGTTGCCTTTTGACACCGAGTAGTTTGCAGTCGTGGCGGTAAAGCAACCATGCATCGACCAGACCTAAAATGATGGTTTGCCAGAAAAGGTAAAGGTGCTACCTTGGTGATCTTATGTGGGACTTGCCTCTTGTGATGCATGCATCAAGGAGATCCATGCCCCTCATGAATGTGTTGTACTTTTTAACAATATGCGGCCTGCTAACCTCCACAAATGCTTTGTCTGATTTGCTCCAGCATCAAGCTTTGTACAGTAGGATGAGAACAAGGTGACAGATTTGTTATTTTACTACTTCACAATGGCCACCCTTTCCCCCTTCTCCACCTTGGCATCAATGGATCCTCTGTCTCTGCAAAACTTTTTTCATCCTCAAATTGACAACCAGTGTTCCTTTGAAATAGATCTTTCGCTGAAGAAGGTTGAGCACCAGTGACACTGAATTAAAATAGGTTGTCTGCAAACAAATTGTGTCTCTTAGTGCTGATTTACATTTGACATACATTTTTTCATTTCAATACATATTTATAAATTAGTTTGATAATTTTCACAGGGATTTTTTGTTAATTTTTGTTTAAATATTCTTGACTTCCCCTTCATAAAATATTTTGATTAAAAATTGTAAAATGGGCTTAAGTTTCTACTATTTTGTTTTGATTGTGACAAATACGTCACATGGGATTTTTGATGAATATTTTAAGAGTAAAAGCCGGATGCAACATATTTGTCACAGCGATCTTCTCTTGTTTTTTACCAAATTTTCAAAAAAATGTATTAAGAACAGGTCTAATGTATTAAATAACACGTTATTTAAACAGAATCATCATTATTGGAGTTGAAACATACCTTTGTCACACAAACACACCTTTCAAAAGTAGCTGGATTTGCCTCATGAGTTAACCTGGTGCACAGCCATATTGGAAGTGAGGTTACTGGAACACCAGTGGAGGCACAGTCACATGACTGCACCAGGATGTAAAGTAGATGTCACTTAGGGACTTTATATGTAAAAAAATACAGACTTAAGCAATTTGAAGACCTGCCCTCTAAAGGGGCGGTGACACCTGTGTCACAGTAGCTCCTTTTGGGTTAAAGTCCACTTTTGGCCTAAGTACTAAATCAAACCAGTAATTATATTTGGCTAGTACCTGACTGTTACAGGTACAAGTATACAGTGTCTGTGCATTATAGATTCTGTCTGTAGAAACGTTTACTTTTGTTCAAGTATAGGAGTACTACCTCATCAAATTAAAAATTAACGGAGCAATGGGAGTTTATCAAATGGTAAAATCAATGTAAAAAGTGAAATAATATACAGCAGTTTTTGCTTTGTTTCTAAATCAGGTTCAAGTTTATGTCAGGACCCAGATTTCTGAGTATGCCAAGTCTAAACCCTCATATAAGTATATATTTTGTCCATTTACACCTGATTTTATTACTGAAAGCCGCTGACTTGCAGTTTCTGTTTCCTGGTTGGAAAAACAATCTGTACTCTTTATATGATGAGACCAGACACTTTGAAGCTGAAGTTTTATTGAAATAGCAAGTTGTGTTCCAACCATCGTTGGGTTTTATTTTCATTCATGAATCGCTAAAGTAGGTCCGGGTTTGTTTCAGGACACATAAAAACAAGATTAGCCTCAGACCATACTCTTTGTTCTGCTGCTTAAAAAGACCAAACATCAATCCACTGTACACAGCATCAACAGATATAAAACCACCAGCAGATCCAGCGTGATATAAACAGCAATCTGCTTTTACTGATCAGGGTTAAAAGAATGGATTAAAGAAAGGTTTAGAGAGAGAGGGACAGTTTCAGCAGCTTGGATACATGTTATTATCAGGTGTGATGGAATTCATTTGCTATTAATAATATCCTATGTAACAGGTGACATTGTTTTTGATTAAACAATACCTCTCAGCAGGTCACAGCTTCACGGAGGCTTTGTTTAATCCTCAGCCAAATGTCATCAGTCAGTGTCTTAATGAATCTCATTGCTCTTAGATATCTCAGGTAGTTTTTTAAATCTTTATCTAGACACATGCCTGGATTAGCTGAGGGTGTCATGGACTGATATTATTCCCTGTCACATGATTGTTCTCTTGGGGTCATAGCAGAGCTTTACCAAACTTAATTATAAAACTATGAACCTCTGCAGGAGAAAACCCACTGCCATGTCAGTTTGAAATTCATTTATCCTGATGGAAAAAAGGTTTGGAAAGAAATGGGGTGAAAAGGAGGGAGGAGGGAAACAGAGAGGATGAAAAGAAGGGGGAATGAAAAGAAAGTGGCTCTCCATGGATGGCTTGTCATCTGAGGTGAGACTGAACAGAGCAGAGGTAAACAATGGCTGTTTGGTAAAAGGCAGAAGCAGTCACTCAGGCAGTAATAAAATAAAAAAGGGGGATGTAAAAAAAAAAGAAAAGAAAAGAAAAAACAGCCGCAAGTCTTTCTGAAGGGAAGCTGCCAGACTCCATTTGTCTGCGCGCACAGCACACTCTGTCACCTGCCATAACTACCCATCAACCCCATGATTTCTCAGCTCAAACAGTCCTCTGTAGCTGTGAGTTCTCTGCATCTACCTGTGCACTAGCTTTGTGTGTCTGTACTGGATTGTGTACTGGTGTGTGTTTGGCATGATCCAGACTGGTGTGAGGACCAGCTTTGAAGTGTGTGAGAGAGATGCTGGTACTGATAGCAGATGACAGTCTTCACTGTGTTGTAGCGCCTCGAGTCCTGACCCAATAACACGGCTGCTGTCCAGACTTGTCTAGACCTTTACTTCCTCAAACTTACAGTCAATGTTTGTTTTTTTTATTTCCTCTCTGAAGATCAAGATATGCTGGTGTAAGAATGTAACTCTAGATCTACTAAAGATTTACATGTACAAAAATACATGCAAACTTGATGGCATATGCAAAGCTGATCTACTAATCAGGTGAACGAGGAGTGCAACTGTCAAATGAGCAAAATGTAGTAGAATGTAGGTAGATCATCACAACGCAAAGTACTGGGGAGGAGATGCAGATACAATTATTTAGCACCCACCAAGTGATTTATTAGACCTGAAACTGATTGCGGTCTATGTTTTGTGTCCATATTTAGCACGTTTGAAAGGTAGGTGCAAACTGGTACAGGGTTATGCACAAATGGCTATGGTCATTGTAGCAAGAAGGAGGCAAAGGTGCAATGACAGAGAGAGAGTCTAAACTTTCCATGGTGACAGCCAGACAGCCGGCTCACGATAATATCTCGATATGGCGATACTGCAATTATCAATGCATTGCTCTCGGTGACCTATGATATACCTGTGTATTGATAAGGGTGTGAGAAAAACAAACAAGAAAATACATTTCATAGTTTATATTTTGCAGCATAAATTAAAGGTCCCATGGCATGCCAATTTCACACAACTTAAAATAGTCCCCTGGTGTGTTCAAAGCATGTCTGTGACGTCCTTCGGTCAAAATTTGATTTGGATCAATTATTTTAGTGCTCTTTTTATCAGCTAAAAACAGCTCCGCTCAAAATCCTCCGTTTTGGGCCTTGTCTCTTTAATGAAATGAGCTGCACCTAAGCCACGTCCACTTTACACCCATCTCTCTGGAAGGGGCTGTGGCTGTGCTCCGATAGCCATGTGCTAATGTTTCCACTGGCTCGGTCATGGCTGTAAGAAGATCGCTCGTACAACCCTACCAGTTTGAGCCAGAGTCTGACCCAGAGGGAGAGGCTCCGGAAGAAACTCTTAGCCGCGTTCAGACCAAACGCGACTTGAAGCGACCTAGTCGACATTGTCTATGTATTATTCAAAGCCGCCAGGAGGAAGGAGGAAGATATGAATGTAGAAAAATTTACAACCAGAGCTCTGCAACAATGTAAGATTTTGGTGTTCTAAAACTTCTCTGAAGCCTTTGCTAATAAGTTAGATGGCTGACCGTCCAGCATTAGCCGGGACGTCCCATATTTGAGCCAAAAGAGGCGCATCGCCGCACGGGTAAATGCTAAAGCTACATGCTGCTCCGGAGGGGGATTTTGTCCACGGTCGGGGAAGGAGCGAGCGGCTAAAATACGGGAGGATCCG